ACTTTATGTGAGGAAGTTGATTTAAAGTTTAATTAATCGTACTTGAAAGAAATATTACTTACTTTTAGTCTAGAATATTGCAGAAAAGCATCGTTTAACCCGGGAGTGGGAGTTTTTATGAGGTGTTAACAAATTTCTCACTAGATTTATGATTGAGAATCTTTTATTCTCAAATATTCTAAGTAACGTAATATTTTACTGAATTTTAAGAACATTGACTTTATACTATAACATTCGTATTGGCAAAATTCGACACGTTTATCCACTATATATATATATATATATATATATATATAAATATATAAATATATATATATATATATATATATATTCAAATTCTTTTATATATATATATATATATATTCAAAATTCTTTTAAATATATATATATATATATATATATATATATATATTTAAAATTTTTTTTATAATATATATATATATATATATATATATATATATATATATATATATATATTTTTGATATATATATATATATATATATATATATATATATTCAAATTCTTTATATATATATATATATATATATATATATAAATTTTCTTTTATATATATATATATATATATATATATATATATATATATATATATATATATATATTCAAAATTCTTTTAATATATATATATATATATTCAAAATTATTTTATATATATATATATATATATATATTCAAATATTCTTTTAAATATATATATATATATTCAAAATTCTTTTAAATATATATATATATTCAAAATTCTTTTAAATATATATATATATATTCAAAATTCTTTTAAATATATATATATATATATATATATATATATATATATATATATATATATATATATATTCAAAATTCTTTTAAAATTTTGGTGGTCGTTGAGATTTTCCATTTATGATCAGTAAATACAGTCTTAATTTAATTACTCTCCCTTGACCGCTACACATCGATACATAATTTTATAAAATTTAAAATTTTAGAAATTGATCTAAATAATTTTATACAATTCCTGTAAAATTGTCATTATTCATCGATTTTTTTCTTCATACAATATATGTTATACATCAAAGCAATTAAATGCTTTTCTAATAAAATACTGTCTGAATAATATTACATCTTTTAGTTTACAATTTAGAGTAGGTTTGCAATAACTGGTGCCAAAGCCCATATAACTCATATAAACATTATGTACTACAAAAAGATTTTCATAAAATTAAATAAGTAGCGCTTAACAGATCTAAGTAAAGAATTTTATAAAGAATTTCTAAAAAAAGAAACATTTCTAAAATAATTTAATTCAATTGTGAATAAGCCCTGAAAATTTCATTAAAATTCGGCCCAAATTTCCAAATCAGTTTATATATATATATGTATGTGTGTGTGTGTGTGTGTGTGTGTGTGTGTGTGTGTGTGTGTGTGTGTGTGTGTGTGTGTGTGTGTGAAAAGTGTATATAAATATATATATGTATAATTATTTATATATTATATGCATAATACTTATTAGAAAGCGCTCAATATCAGAGATAGAGTTAACATATTTGGTTGGATAGATGTGAGTTTGTGACCTGGGTTTCACGCTTTAGCGATCGTCAGACAAACGTTTGTCTAACGATCGCTAAAGCGTGAAACCAGGGTCAAAATCTATCCAACCAAATATATATATATATATATATATATATATATATATATATATATATGTGTGTGTGTGTGTGTGTGTGTGTGTGTGTGTGCGTTTTAGATTTTAATATTAGCCATTTCCTTATAAAGGCAATGTTCGGCATTCATTGGTCGAGAATTCAGTGTTGCGGTTGGTGGAAATTTACAAAATCCTTCTCTGTTAATTTTTTTTTTTTTCTGGGAATTAGGTTTTTCAAGTCCAATAGCTGTTATTACTCTTTCCAGCATTGATAGGGGATTCCTTCTTTGTCTCTTGTTTGGGGTCGTGCAGAACGTTAGCGTCTTGATGATGTCATTATTTTCTCCTTGAGTTACATTTGCTACACGTTTTAGTTGTTTCTGATGTCGAAAGTCTTGAAGTGATTTTGTTTTTTGTTAGCTAGTACAGATCTTTGCTTGTGATTCAGTAAATCCTGTTCATTAAATTTGAAGAAGAATAGTCCTCACTCAAGCCATTTTGTACTTTCGATGAGAGAAAAGCTATTGAATATAGCCAACAGGTAAACTATTTCTGAACGTTTGACGTCATATGTAAGTCTCTATCTGACGAGCTTATTTAATAACATGGCAATAGTTTTTAAGTTAATGTTTTGTAGCAGCTTGCAGTGTTGACCGAAACTACCCCTAGCACAGCCTATTCTATGTTCAGTTTCTTTATCTATACTAAATTTGTTTAACAGATCCATACACCAAGTTATTTGAAGTATTTAATATTTACTAATTCCGGATCCTGAGTTTTTTTTCTGTCATTGCTGCTTTTATTCTAATACCTGATCATCGTTTCTGTTTGGGAAAGGTTTATCTAATTAGTAAAGGATGCTGAATTTTTATCTGCTTTTCTCCATGAGTGCCGAGTGACACTGGCCAACACCCCCAGACAGCAGGCTCAAATAATTAAGAAAAACTCTTTACCGTGGTCTGATAAATGAGGCTGCCCGTGGCCCCCTCTCTGAGTGCCTTGGCCTGACAGAGAAGGAACTCAGGTCCCACTGGCAATGGGCTCCAGTTACTGATTTCCTTACCAACTCGGAGTTCTCTATGACTTGGTGTCTGGCACGAAATGCCTTGCCCGTCAATGATATTAGGTTCAGGATGGGGGTAGCCGAATCACCCAAGTGCGGGAGGCAGTGATCCAGAGGAGACGGTTGAACATGCCTTCTATCAGTGCCCACAAGTCTACTCGCTATGGAAATATGTAGGGGATCTGGTTGCTCGTCTGGAGCCAGAAAACGTACTATTCCTGGACGTCTCCTATGTATGCGACAATGTGGTCCCTCCGTGGGAGGGCCTGAAACGCGTGATGTTCCTCACACTTAACTGTAGCTAGAATGGGTGTGTGGAACACCAGGCAACTCGCGGTCTTACATTGAGATATGCTGTCACACCATGACCTGATTGCATTCAACAAACATCAGCTCAAGGTGAAGATAAGATGTGACAAACAAAGACTGACCAAGGAAGATTTCTGTGACAGATGGATAAAATAAAACCAGTCTGGTACGTGTGAAAGGTGCCAAACTAGAGTGGCTTTTTAGCTTTAGTGTGCTGCAATGGTACACTTCATTAGTATCCGAACAGCCTGATAAAATGAAACCTGTTGTGTGATCCGTACCCACCTCCCCACTGTTCAAATCCCACCCACCTCCTTACGTGTGAGTATTTATAGCGTAAGTAATAATCTGCAAGTAGGATAGTGATAGGTGACGGATGAAAAGAGATGGACAAAAGGAATATTGTTCGTATAATCGGGTTGAATGAGAGAATAGTGTTCATTTTTAGTACTAGACCTTGCATGACAAGCCTCTTCTTTCCCTCTTTTTTCCTGGCCCTGTGCCGAATTGATGTATTTTTGTTAATAAATATTAAGATCATTCTGATCCCAAATATAAATGCCTTTATAATCAGTATAACTACCCCCATCATCAGTACATTGGCTTCGGGAAGAAAACAGAAACGCTGTTTTCTATTAGTAAGTTCATTTGCGATACGGTGTGGAATGTTTAAGTGATTAGTGACCATCTCGTCACAGCTGTGCTTATATATGCGCAGAGCATAATCTAAGAAGAAACATATTGGGGCCCTCATTTTCCCCTTTGTACTCCGAACCAGGTTTGAAATGTTTCGGTAATGAGTTCCTCATCCGACATGTATGACTTTGTGGGCCCAAATAGTTCTACTATCAAATCTGGACATTATTCGTATTCGGAGCTTGGAAGGTGGTTCTTAATGGATAAGAGGAAGTCTCTATTGATATGGTCGTATATTGATGTGTTGACATCATACCAAGTAAAACTGTTGCAAAGTTAAGCAATTTCCTGGAGTTCATTGATGACATATATGTCATCATTAGAGCGAAAAGCCAAATTGAGTCCTAAGGTGTTGATTAAATCCGACAAAAATGATTAAATAAGCAATTAGTAGGAAAACGTTTATGAATTTAATATGTTTCGTATTTATTCATCAGAAATTTTGAAGAATAAGATAGCGTGAGGATGAAATATTAAAAAAAATGATATTGTTTGTTTTCATTGGTTGGGTTGATACCATCTGATCATTTTTTTTTGTCTTTAGTATGTATCCATGTGGGTCTTAATTTATGGTGGAAGTTCTGTATATATCTAAATGTGTGCGTGTGTGTGTATGTAACCCAGTGTTTAATTTTTAAATGGTTGTATAATAAAAGTTATATGAACGTTATAATTTTAGAGATATATTACGGCATTTGTGCGTGTTTTATATAGGTAAGGTAAATATATCTAAATAATATATAGATATATGCATATTCATGCATATATATATGTGTGTGTGTGTACGTTGTATATGCAGGATAGATATATTAAAGATCTATATACGTTAGTGTCCTTTTCTTTTCTCTAAATGCTGCTGACTGGTGTATGTGTGTCCGTTATTATTTGGCCTGCCACATACGGGCAGCAAACTGGCCGTTAGAACAGAGAGCTCCATTGAGTGGTATTCAGCACTCACAATGGACACAGACAGTTCGACTCCTGCATCGCATCTTTCGAAAAGGACAGAATGAAGAAGTCGGCGCTATTGGCGCGGTCATTCACAACGACTGCTGTCGGCAATAACAACTATGAGATGAAAAGAAGAAAAAGCAAAGATCTCAATAGGTATTGTTGCCGAGATCAGAAAAATAAGTGGGTAATGGGAAGGAAAGGAGTTACAAAGCAATGGTAGGGTAGGAAATGAAAAGCAAGAAAAGAAATAAAGAAAGAAAGAAAGAAAGAAAGAAAGAAAGAAAGAAAGAAAAAGAATTGCATTAAAAGTTGTTGAGAAAAATAGATTGAAATAAAAATTACAATGAACAGGAAATGGAAGCGAAATTCAAGAAAAAAGATGTAAACAGTAAAAAAGCGAAAATAGAATAGAGAAAGAAGGAAAGAAAAAAAAAGAAAGATAGATAAACCGGAAGAAAGTAAGAAAGAAAGAATGGATGAAAAAAGGAAAGAAAGAAAGAAAAACAAAACAATGAAGGAAGTAGTAAATGTTTGGAAAAGCATTCAGCAGAAGCAAAAGAAATTAATGAAAGATAGAAGAGAAAAAAACTTAGAGAAGAAAAAGAATGAGACGGAGATGAAAAAGGAGAAGAAATAGAAGAAGAAATAGAAGAAGAAAAAGAAGAAGAAATAGAAGAAGAATAGAAGTATGAAATTAACAAAAGAGCTGAGAATGGGGAACGGAAAAGGGATGAGAAAACATTTAAGATCAAATGTGAAAAGGAAATAGATACAAGATGGAGAGAGAAAAAATGAAGAAGGGGGTAAAAAAATAGAAGGCAAATGAAGAATGAAAGAAAGAATAATGCAACAATGAAAATTAAGAAAGAAAAAAAGGAAGTGGTAAATTATAAAGGTCACAATCCAAATTAAGAAAGAAAGAAAGAAAGAAAGGGAAAATAAAGCAAGAAAGAGGTAAAAAATGTATGTAACAATACAAAGAAAGAAAGAAAGAAAGAAAGAAAGAAAGAAAGAAAGAAAGATAGAAAGAAAGAAAGAAAGACAGAAAGAGAAAGAGACAGAAAGAATGGAAGGGAAAAAATAAGGCAAGATAGAGGTAAAACAAATGGAGAAAAATGAAAATATAGCGTTTAAGAAAAAGCCAAAAAAAAAATGAAGATGAAGACTTGTCGAATTTCAATGAATATGAAAATAAAAAATAAAATAACAATGGTATTAACAGACTAATCTCGGAAATTTCAGTTAGGAAAGAAAGAAATTTCTTTTTAAAATCGCTTCGATTAAAAGAAGAACTGAGTTTAGACTTACAGGCAATTAAGCAATGATACAAGAAAAATCGGTTTAACTTAACTAATGAAAGCAAATGGTAAAAAAAGATAACTTGATCGAAATCTGAAGGATACAAACAAAAGAAGAGATTTCTTGTCAAAACGCACCCGTCAAAAATGTCGTAATTTTTAAAAAATATTTACTAAATAACTTTTACTAACAACCGATAAAATAGTAGTCACCAGTGAGAATCTTCAATAATCACCTTCTCATCGAACCTTTCCGTTGGTTTAAGCAAAGTGAAAGAAAATAGTTTAAACTTTAAAAATATCATTGACTATATAATAAAAGATTTAGAAATGACTTACCAAAAACAGAAAAGAATCAACAAAATATGTTAAATACAAATGTTTGCAAAAATATATCGTCTGTATCTCATTTTTTTTAATAAACTGATCCTTCATTGTTCATTCACTTAAATCTTTTATTTCTATAATTGTTATTTACCAATCTTAGTTTGCTTTTGTCACATAGTGACACTTATGGTCCTTCTATTGACTATAAAATAGAATAAACTACCCGATGGGTATTATTTTTACCAATAAATACTCTAAAATCAAAACATTAACCGATGAACTCAAGTCATGTTTTAAATAACTGGTTATTTAGAACCATTCATACAAATATGAGCTAAAAGCCCGTATCTACAAACGCAAAAGAGATCTGCGTTTGGACAAACGATTTAATTCTCTCGTTTTACATCGAAAAACATGCTGGACATAACTTTGATTTCACTAATCCAACTCTAATTAAAAAAAATAACATAATTTTTAAGAAAATACATTGAAAACTTTATAATAACATTATTACCAACTGTAAACCCGGGCTTAAAACATTACATTACATTGCCATCTTTCTTTGAACTTATATCTATCTAATACAAAGAATACATGCTTAAAGAGGTCAGCCATAACTTAGGACCACGTGACACCTCGCTGTGCAGGCTGAAGGGACAGAAGTGAAGACACCAGAACTCCCACTGGATGGAAACACATGCTCAATTACGAATACACATTACCACCCGAGGTCCATTTAGACATCTTCACAAATTTACACACAGAATTATGTATGGTTCTAATGCAAGTTACACGTGTCTGACCAATGAGAATTAACTCAAACATAATTGAAAATACCATTGTTTTCTGTCTTTTTGTCTGTTTTCTCCCAATCCACAACGAAGATTTAATAAAAGGGAAACATTTTAGATTGATATAAGATTCAAACGTGTTAGATTGATAGTATCAGAAAATTCATGAAATTGTTAATGCGATAAGAAAAAAGAATTAATCGTACAATTCAAAATATATTTCTGATAAAAAGGGTTGATAAGAAAAAAGATCAATTTAAATAAGAAGATTTCAATAAGAAAAAGATCAATTTACCCTTGTTGATGCTCCAGAAAACCCTAGTGTGCTCTTTGGCTCGTTATATCTGCTAAACCGGAACAATGAAAGCTAGCGCTGTTAACAATCTGATATCGTTCGAAACAAAATGCTCAGTTGGACTGTTTTGGAAGAGCTGAGAATAGTTGGTCGCAAACATAAGGGAGGGAAAACGGCAATGCATTGGCCATGTCATCAGAGCCCAAAACCTCTGCACCCACATCCTGGAAGGACGCATCAATGGCATGAGTCCGAGTGTAGGACCAAAGCGATACAGTTGTGATGACATCAGAGATTGTAAAGGAAGAACGCAACCGGAGTTCACGGTGGAGAGCATGGTAAAAAGACGGGAAAAAACAAGCATGGGAAAAGGACGGGAAAATTGCGGGAAAAGCGTGTGAAAAGTGTGAGAAAACATAAGAAAAGTGTGGGAAAAAAGCATGGGAAAATGGTGGGAAAAGATTGGGAAAAGGTAAAGGAAAAGAACACGAAAAGCCTAAGAAAAAGGCGGGAAAAAGCGTGGGAAAATGGTGGGAAATAATTGGGAAAAGGTAAAGGAAAAGAACACGAAAAGCCTAAGAAAAAGGCAGGAAAAAGCATAGAAAAGCGTGGGAAAAACATGGAAAAAGGACGAGGAAAATATGTGCAAAGAACGGGAAAAAGCATGAGAAAAGTGAGAGAAAAAGCATTGGAAAAGGACAGGGAAACAGTGGGAAAAATAATTGAAAAAAGATGGTAAAAATCATGGGAAAAGGGTGAGAAAATGTGGAATAAAGCATAGAAAAATGATGCGGAAAGTCTGGGAAAAGAGCGGGAAAAAGCATAGGAAAAAGATGAAAAAAGGGAGAAGGCAAACAAGTAATACAGAAACTTTCTATCTATCTCTTTAAACGAAGCTCCATGCTATAAGCAAAACAAAAATAAACATATGAGAGGAGCCGAGTCACAAAGCCGACGGCGCACATCTTTTAATTATTCTCCAGAGAAAAAGCAAGTTGAACATTTCGAATCCATGTGGAATCGAGATCCAGGAAACTTACAAAATACAAGAGCTTGTTGAAAAGTCCTCGGACCGACCAACTTGAACATTTGGAAACTATTTAGGATTGCGAAAACTAACAAAGTAAATAAGAATAAACATTGAATACAAGAGTATGCTGAAAAGTTCTGGGCCCGACCAAAACAGCCCCCAGCATCATCAATCTTACATTTAATCATGTGATCAGATGTTAGAATGATCTTTGTGCCTCGAACTTTTCAATACCTCCTCGTATAGTCTAAAAATGTTAATATAACCGATAAATGTTTGGCAGAGTAGAATATCTTCAGATGACAATTCTAACAAAATTTAATTGATACAATAAAATAGTGATAAATCATTATATGTATGCAATTAAATGAAACTTTGCATTTAAAAGATGTATTAAGAAAGCAAACCAAGTTCGCGTCATATGTGATTGTCCCGGTGTGTATGTGGTTGTGGGGGGTATCAGCAATGTGGCTGAAGTCATGTCATTCCAACCATTTTTGAAAGGGCCTCATTTTTAATGACATTACTTGCACTTAAGGCCGGTGCAAAGATATCGTGCCCACCCGCCGATTCTATGACCCCCACCCTAGAATCTATGATACGCCGCACCCAGCTATACTAAATCTCAATTTTCATGTGGTAGTTTTCATATAATATGCAAATTTCATTGTAACATAAATATGTACTATAATGGATCATAAGCAAAATTGGTGAACAATTCAAGTAGAAAAACTGAAAATAAATACCACGCATCTAAATAGAAATTAGAGACATGTCGTAATACATTCTTCTATTAAAAAAAAAAATCAACGATATCTTACAGAAATATTAAAAATCAACTTGAGATTTTTCTTGTTAAAAAGTTGATTAATTTTAACAAATTCAACATTTTTAATAAAAATAGTGAATTTTTTTACTGTTTTTACAAGACTTAGTATGAACAAAACATATTCATGGATTTGGACAAAAACAAACACAGCATGAGGTCATAATCCACGAAAATGTTTCATCGTTTAATAGTTGCGCTTAGTTTAATAATATAAATGTAGGTAAAAAAAAAGTAAAGAAACGAGGGTCACAAAGCTCTTCCCGGGGCCCGCAATCAGGCTTGCCTCTTAGGGTAGGGTGTTTCAACAGTGATACACATTGGCCCTGTATGCACTGAGGCGCTGGAAACAGTAATCAATAAATTTGTTTTTCTATGAAAGTGTGAAGAGTGTTTAATATTAATTTAAGCTCAACATTTCAAATAAAAAATAAATCTATACTTCGAAGAATTTTTCTTGTTGCCAGTCATAATATCAATATTCTATATCTTAAAAATAGTTCAACGGCTATACGAATATTTAGAAATGCACACAAAAGACATTGGCTCTGAATTTAAACAGAAAGAAAATTCAATTTTGAAGTAGACATGTTTTCCACTTCAATTATGTCTTGAAAAAACACGGATATTTTGATTCATGCTGTAAAGATTGTGTACACCAAACAGGAAATTTAGAAAGACATTCTTTATGAGCCGTGTCCCTTCATGCCGTAGGCGACCATGTCTCTCCACAACTTCCAGTCCTTTCTACCTGTTAAAAATTTTGTCTTTTTGTTATTTAACCAAATCCTGTTCTTCCATCCACTTACACAAACTCATTGAGTATATTATGCGTTGTTTTCATCCTCTGCCCTCTTGCCCTCAATCTGAACTGTATCAGATTTTCCAAGACGTCCTTTCTCATTATGGGCCCTAGAAATTTCAGCTGTCACTTCCTAGTGTTAAGTATACGTTTCCTTTTTGTTTGTTTCCATTTTCTCTAAAATCTAGTCGTTGCTCACATGTTTGGTCCATGGTAACCATGGTCCACATTTCTGTTGCTCCAGGTTTGTTCTTCATCTTTGAGGAGATTGTCTAGCATTCATGGCCATATAGAAGGACAGATATCATTTACCAACGCAGTACTATTTTTTTGAATATATCTTTGGCAATTCCAGTGTGTCTCCGAATTTTAATGTTGCTCTTTCCTCCCTCTGTTAGAATACTTGTTTGATTTTGGCATCTCCGATTTCTAATTTGTATTTTAGACACATCCTTTTGCTAAAAATCATGCCTTCTATCTTGTAGTCTATGTTTAGTCCTTTCTTCTCGCTTTCCTTCACTACCTTCTGTCGAATCTTTTCTAGTTCTCTTTCCGTGTCTGCTATGAACACTACATATCTTATGTTTTTAAGATTATGGCTGTCAATAATGAATATTGGTAAGATCTCTAATTCGATCAGAATTGCCTTGCTATATAAATTGAATAAGACCAGTGAGAAGACGCATGTGTAGACACATCAACGTAAATATAGTCTGATAAAGTTCTAAAGGACGAAACGCGTCCCTCTTGCCTTCAATCTGTCCAGTGAGTATCCATTTCCAAGCCTCCTCATTTTTGTTTCCATTTTTTCAATAAAACATCGTTGTTGCTCACTTGATATGCAGATGACACCGTGTTGATAGCAGACGACACCGTGTTGATAGCAGACGACACCGTGTTGATAGCAGACGACACCGTGTTGATAGCAGACACTGGAATAAATTGTATGAAATTCAAGACAAGTTAGTAAAGGAAAACGGGATTGATTGACTTTTACGGCTTATTAACCATTTGCAGATTATTTAAAAGCAGAAAATATTTTTATATTGTAAGATTTTTTTTTGGAGATAATAATGATTTACTGTTGCAAGTCTTACTCATTATCCCATAACTGGGGATAGTAAAGATGGATTCATGCCTTTCCAAAGGTTATTTAGGCGTAAGTGAATATAAGGAAACTGACTAGAATTGAAACTCGGCTCTCTAATTTCCAATTTTGAGCGGTTATCCATTACACCACACGCACATCCAAGCCTACAGTATCTGGCGTCCCTAAGCGACCACCTGTCTCAGTATTTAACAGACCTGACGTTGCTTAACTTCGGTGATCGTATGAAAACCGGTTTTTCAATGTGATATGGACGTAAGCTAGGAATGGAGGAAGTAAGGATTTTTGTATTTTTGGTCAATCTATTGAATATTTTGTTAGTAATTGTTGTGGCTTTGTTAGAGCCAGAAATAAAAGCACAAAGAAAGGAATTGAGTTAAACAAATATATCAACAGAAACAATAATACAAACGAGTGTGTTACAGCAAGAATGTTCGGTCCGACTGTGAGAGCTGACTGCTGGAAACTTCCCTCTCCAAAAGGCAGTACCTGCTCCTATTCATAGCTGGGATAGCCCATGCGTGCGTGGGTAAATTACCATAACAGTAATAGACCATTTGATTGTACATTTTACTAATGAATGACATGGAAGTTTTGTGCAAAATCAGGTCTGTCCGAGTCATGAGAATGTTTTTATGTAACGGGATAAACTCCAACCTGCAAGTTGATTAACGTGGACACATGCGTCTTAATTAATCCAAGAAAATAATAAGCCATTTTTTGTTATTATGTATAAACAGATAGAATACATTTCTTTAAAACATTCATTAAATAAGGCAAAGGGAGTTGGAGTTTTGTACAGTGTCATGAGATGATAGTTAAAAGGGAAACATAACTTGGTATACTCGAATATCCAATTCCTATATAAAGCATTTTTACATATGCTAACCTTTTAATACAGCAGAAGAAACGATTCAAATATTTAATTACAAAAGTGAATTTTGCCGAAAAAGATTTTCGATAACTTATTTAATCATTACTACTACAAGCAATGAGATAATGCCACTAAGACGCAAATGATTACTGGAAGTGAAAGAGATTGAGAAAACTTTAGTGAGGAGAAATGACGTTAAAAGTACTGAATTCAGGAAGACAGAAGATTTCGATTGACGTTGCATCTAAAGTTGTGAACACTGTAGGTGGTGGGCAAATAAGATGTGGAAGGGAGTTCCACAGGAGAGAAATGCGAGAAAAGAAACTATTAGAATATAACTTACGGTTACATCGAGCTTATTCAACAATAAAACGATGAGTCCCAGTATCCAATCTAGTAGTACGCTTTAATTCATGTAGTCGAGGTACTAAAATGGAGAGTTCATTATGACAACTGTCTTGAAAATAATTAGAGAAAAGGCACAGGGAAGCTACGTCAGGGCGGCGAGAAAGTAACTGAAATCGAGATGACAAGTCAGGATCAATGACATTACAGACCTTTCTTTGGATTTCGTTGAGAATGTCGAGATATACAGCAGAAGCACCATGACAGATATAAGAGCAATATTCAATGTATATTCGAATGGGAGATTTATAAATGTGTAAGACGGATTCTAGCGAGAAAAAAGTCGAGCACGACAGAGTGAATTAACTTTCCTAGCAAGAAACTTAGCAAATGATTCAATGTAATCATTCCATAGAAGGCGCAACGAGTTGATCTGCCGGATCTAACAACAATGCCGATGAAAGGCAAAAAAGATAGTCTATGGTTATTACAATATAGCAGTTTCCTTTTGGAGGCATTCAAATTTAAAAGTCATTCCTTACCCCAGTTAACAACAAAATTAAATTCACTACCCTCGAATATACAAATAACCCCCGCAAAATGTTATACACAAACAGATATATTCATCACAACTGGTCTCCACACAGAGAATTGTTGATTGATTGCAGCTTATTTAAAGCCAGAAAATATTCAGAATATTTCGGTGAGTGGAGATAATAATGGTTTAGTGTTACATGTGTTACTAGTTAGCCCATGCCTTTCCTAAGGGTATTTTCTCGTCGTTCAGTTATGTACCATGATACATGACTGACGAGGCAGATTTTTACCCACAGTAGGTT